ATTCATATGTTGAAATCCTAACTCCCTATGTGATTGTTAGGAGGTGAGGGCCTTTGTGAGGTAACTGGGTCATGAGGGTAGAGTCCTCTTAAGTAGGATTCATAGCCTTATAAAAGAAGCCCCAGTGACCTCTCTCCACTATTTTCCCAAGTGAGGACACAGCCAGATGGCCACCTGATAACCAGGAAGTGGGTCCTTGGTGCCGAGTCTGCTGATGCCTTGACCTTGTTTGCTGGGGTATAGAGCTCACCTATCCTTACACTGCCTATGCATCTCAGTCCCGATATATAAAATCCTTTCTGGCCTAAACTTCCAGTAACACATTCCCATGAAAATATTTTATTTTCAATGAGGAATATTCCTGAGAACTCTAAGTTGTACCCAAGTGTCCTAATCATACTAATCCAAATGGAAACTTCAGAACCCTGAGGAATCTCTGTTATCTGGCTGTCTGGCCTCTCCTAAATGGTCAAAGGAAATGAAAATCTTTCTTGCTTGCTTTTGACTAATTTTTACTCATCATATCACTTATTATGTCAAAATAGTATGTATTCAAAAAGACCAGGCATAAACCTAAAAGTCAAATAAACACACCTAAAATCCCTTTTAATTCTGATCCACACACAAATATCTTATCACAATGGTTCTAGAAATAAATGCTCCAAACTCTTGTTCTGCATTTTTCACTTTGCATCATAGCCATTTTCCTAATTTTTACAAAATCCTCTATATAAGAGAAAGTGCTGCATGAAAGAGAATATAAAGTAGTTAGTGAAGAAATCATGTTGTAAGATGATACACTGAACTACTGTTTTCCAGCCTAATTTCTAATAACCACAGCAATTTTTCAACCTTCTCAACACCACCACCAGTGATAGCATTCTCATTTACTCTTTATTGGAAAAGAGATCAATATCATTGGCAATCACTCCACAGCATATTGTCCATTTAATGGCAATTCTCTCTAAGTGCTTTCTGCAAGGAAAAGTGCCAAAATGTATTACTTTTGCTCAGAATGTTTCATAAAGACTGTTTGATTTTATATGCAGAATTATGAAATAAAACGTGAGATCCTGACTGACCAGAGTGGCTCAGTTGGTTTGAGTACTGTCCCATGAATCGAAAGGTCACCTCTTCAATTCTAGGCAGGGAGCATGCCTGGGTTGTGGGCTCAATCTCCAGTAGGGGGTGTGCAGAAGGCAGCCAATCGATGCTTTTCTAAAATCAGTAAAAACATATTGGGGGAAAAAGTGTGATCCATAGTCCCTCCTTTCATCTCCAGAACAAATTTCCAGATACATAATAATAGGGCCAATGGAAAGCTTTTCTGCATACATTAATCTTATCCATGTTTTTCTAACACATATCTTCCTTGGAAGGGAGGCAGGGATGAAGGAATATACTCTGGCTAGAAAATTTCCAAACTAGTTACATTCATAGGGTTTCTCTTCAGTATGAGTTGCCTGATGCCTAATAAGTTTAGAGCTGTTAATGAAAGCTTTCCCACATTGATTACATGTAAAGGGTTTCTCTCCAGTATGTGTTCTTTGATGTACAATAAGTCGAGCACTCAAGCTGAACGTTTTCCCACATTGATTACATTCGTAGGGCTTCTCCCCAGTATGAGTTCTCTGATGTTGAGTAAGGCATGAACTCTGCCTAAAGGATTTCCCACACTGACTACATTCATAAGGCTTTTCCCCAGTATGAGTTCTCTGATGTACAACAAGAACATAACTCTGGCTGAACGACTTCCCACACTGATTACATTCATAGGGTTTTTCTCCTGTATGAGTTCTTTGATGCATAACAAGGTGTGAACTGCGGTTGAAAGATTTCCCACACTCGTTACATTCATAGGGTTTCTCTCCAGTATGAGTCCTTTGATGTGCCACAAGTTGAGAACTCCAGCTGAAAGATTTCCCACACTGATTACATTCAAAGGGTTTTTCTCCTGTGTGAGTTCTCTGATGGGCAACAAGTTTATAACTCTGACTAAAGGACTTTCCACATTGGTTGCATTCATAGGGTTTTTCTCCAGTGTGAATTCTTTGATGTGCAATAAGTTTATAGCTCTGGATAAATGATTTCCCACATTGATTACATTCATAGGGCTTCTCTCCCGTATGAGTCCTTTGATGTGCAATAAGCTTGTAGCTCTGCCTGAATGACTTTCCACACTGACTGCATTCATAAGGCTTCTCTCCAGTATGAGTTCTCTGATGCACAACAAGAACATAGCTCTGGCTAAAGGATTTCCCACACTGATTACATCTATAAGGTTTCTCTCCAGTATGAGTCCTCTGATGGGAAACAAGGTGAGAGCTCCGGCTGAAGGATTTCCCACATTCATTGGGTAAAGTCAGATGTCTTTCTGAATGCTATGATAACATAGATTTATAAAGTTCAAATCTAACCAGTAAAATTACAGCGAGTGCCAGCTGCATGGGAGAGCTACTAACAAATTTATGTTCGCATGGTGATGCTCCACCAAGGGGTGGGGTGGCAGGAAACCAATTATAGTCTAATTTATTGGACACGCATGGTAGATGGAGTACTCTTTTCCACAGGAGAAAGTGAGCCCATATTTTCAATCAGTTTCCAGCACATCTGCTGAAAAATCCTGAGTGGTGTGCAGTTCTCCAACCTTGAACAATGGGAGCAACTGTTAGAAATAGGAGGATTAAGGAAACGAAATTGGAAAAAGAAATACCAACTAAACTCCTTAGACATTTGGTTCCTAAACCTTGAGAGTTGCTCCTTACCTTTCTCCCCTTTATGGTCTGTCTCCTGGATAATTTACACTTTGCCTGCCCCACCCCCATCCCCATGTGATGAGGTGGGCCATATTCATTTAAAATGTTGTTTCCTTCCTAAGCTTTAATAGAGAAAATGAGGTCTCACTTAAGGTGGATGGTCAATAATCCCACTTTAAAAAATTGGCTCCCGCCCTGACCGGTTTGGCTCAGTGGATAGAGCATCGGCCTGCGGACTGAGGGGTCCCGGTTTTGATTCCGGTCAAAGGCATGTACCTTGGTTGCAGGCACATCCCCAGTAGGGGGTGTGCAGGAGGCAGCTGATCAATGTTTCTCTCTCATCGATGTTTCTAACTCTCTATCCCTCTCCCTTCCTCTCTAAAAAATCAATAAAATGTATTAAAAAAAATAAAAAATCGGCTCGCTTCAATGATAAACGTGACCAAGTATGTCTGAGGATGGGCACATTTATTAATGGCATCTTTATGTGTCATTTCCCAGCTCATGGCCTACCCACCAGAGAGGCAGCTAATGAAGAGGCCACGTTCTAAGTGCCAGAGAGGGGCCTGAGCTAGAATTTAGATGCCCCTTTTCAGTCTGTGTGGGATGAAACCTGTAGTTTCCAGATCATCATTCCAGTAAAGGTTTTATTTCCTGTATGAACCTACATATGAGCCTATTTTATCATTTTTCATAAACTCAGATGCTGAACAACACTGGCCTGAAGGACAATTTGGACTGATCAATGAGCATTTTCTGTGAAGAATGTTAGAAGCTGAGTTTGGGCCTATTAGGGACTGCATGTTTGTGTGCTCCCAAAATTCATATGTTGAAATCCTAACTCCCTATGTGATTGTTAGGAGGTGAGGGCCTTTGTGAGGTAACTGGGTCATGAGGGTAGAGTCCTCTTAAGTAGGATTCATAGCCTTATAAAAGAAGCCCCAGTGACCTCTCTCCACTATTTTCCCAAGTGAGGACACAGCCAGATGGCCACCTGATAACCAGGAAGTGGGTCCTTGGTGCCGAGTCTGCTGATGCCTTGACCTTGTTTGCTGGGGTATAGGGGGTAGGAGGTAGGAGGAGAAGGAATGGGGGTGAAAGGA